AAGATCCAGCCTGAACCTCCCCTGGGGCAACTTGAGGCCATTTCCTCTCGTCCTGTCGCCTGTGACTTGAGAAAAGAGACCGACCCCCATCTCTCTACCCCCTCCTTTCAGGGAGTTGGAGAGAGCGAGAAGGTCTCCCCTCAGCCTCCTCTTCTCCAGGCTGAACACCCCCAGCTCCCTCAGCCTCTCCTCATCAGACTTATTCTCCAGACCCCTCACCAGCTTTGTCGCCCTTCTCTGGACCCGCTCCAGCACCTCAATGTCTTTTTTATGTCCTTTGAGAGGCCTCTCTGCTAATAACACTCTCTGTCTGGCCGCAGAACGTGCGTCGGCTGCTGCAGAACCCCAAGGTGACGGAGCTGGACGCTGCGCGGCTGGTGATGCTTTACGCCCTGCACTACGAGCGCCACAGCAGCAGCAGCCTGCCAGGGCTGGTGGCTGATCTCAAGAACAGAGGGGTCTCAGAGAGGTATCGAAAGGTAACGGCACCATTTCTTCTTCTGCTGGACGAAGGAGCGGGAGGGGAGAGCCCAGAGGTGGAAAAATCACGGAATCACAGGGGTGGGAAGAGACCTGTGGAGATCACCCAGTCCCAAGCCTGGCCCAAGCAGGGTCACCCACAGCAGGTCCCACAGGAACGTGTCCAGATGGGGTTGGGATGTCTCTGGAGATGGAGACCCCACCACCTCTCTGGGCAACCTCTGCCAGGGCTCTGCCACCCTCACAGCAAACAAGTTCCTCCTCATGTTGAGATGGAACTTCCCCTGTTCCAGTTTGTGCCCGTTCCCTCTTGTCCTGTCCCTGGGCACCACTGGAAAAAGCCTGGCCCCATCCTCCTGACCCCCACCCTGGAAGGATTTGGAGGCCTTGATCAGATCCCCCCTCAGCCTTCTCTTCTCCAGACTAAAGAGACCCAAGTAATTTGTTGTTAATTGCTGTAGAGCTGGCCTGCTTTTGTGCTGAGTCACCTCACACCTTGCGAAGAGAAGCCTGAGCTCAGCTGGGCCCAGGTGTTACTTTCCAAGGCGTAACTAATTCCTTAATTTCCACATCTCAAATCAGTGACATTATGAAGGGTTGAATAAAGCCGAGATGGCAGGAGCCTGGGACGGGTGCGCGACACCTAAACGGGGCCTGAACCTCCTTCCTTTCTCCTTCTCCTCTTCCTCCCCATCCCTTTTTCCTCAGCTCCTGCTGGGGAGGCGAGAGCCGGAGGCTCCTGGGGGCTGGGAGAGGGGGGCAGAGCTTGGCAAGACGTGGGGAGCAGCTGGAGAGGAGGTGGAGGAGCTGGGATGATGTCACCTTGTGTGGAGGATCTGCTGTCGCCGCAGCAGACGACGGCAACGAGAGGTTCCCTCCTCACTCCCTTGCTTGGATATGGGGAATAATTCTCCTCTTCCCTTTCCCTCCCCTTGTGCTGCGTTATCCTCTGGGGATCGACCCCCCTGACTGTTCCTCAAGGGGCCGTGCTGGGGCCAATACTGTTTAACATTTTTATCAATGATATAGACAGGGAGATTAAAGGCACCATCAGCAAGTTTGGGGACGATACCAAGCTGTGTAGTGTTGTGGATACACCAGAGGGATGGGATGGCATCCAAAAGGACCTGGCCAGGCTGGAGAGGTGGGCCCAGGTGAACCTCATGAGGTTCAACAAGAGCAAATGCAAGGTTCTGCACCTGGGCCGGAGCAATCCTGGCCACCAATACAAACTGGGGGGTGAGGGATTGGAAAGCAGCCCTGAGGAAAGGGACTTGGGGGTGCTGGTGGAGGAGAAGCTGGACATGAGCAGGCAGGGGACACTTGCAGCCCAGAAGGTCAATCCCATCCTGGGCTGCATCAAAAGCTGCGTTGCCAGCAGGTCCAGAGAGGGGATTCTGCCACTTTGCTCTGCTCTGGTGAGACCTCACCTGGAGTCTTGTGTGCAGGGCTGGAGCCCTCAATAGAAGAAGGACATGGACCTGATGGAGAGGGTCCAGAGGAGGGCCACGAGGATGATGAGGGGGATGGAGCACCTCTGCTCCGAGGACAGGCTGAGGGAGCTGGGGTTGTTCAGCCTGGAGAAGAGGAGGCTCCGGGGAGACCTTATAGCAGCCTTCCAGTACCTGAGGGGGGGCTACAGGAAGGCTGGGGAGAGCCTGTTTAGAAAGGGCTGCAGTGACAGGACGAGGGGCAATGGCTTCAAGCTGGAGGGGAACAGCTTTAGACTGGAGATGAGGAGAGGGTTCTTCACTGGGAGGGTGGTGGAGCACTGGGACAGGTTGCCCAGGGAGGTGGTTGAGGCCCCTTCCCTGGAGATATTCAAGGTGAGGCCTAGTGAGGCCTGATGAGGCCCTGGGCAACCTGGTCTAGTTGGGGGTGTCCCTGCTGACTGTGGGGGGGTCGGACTAGATGGCCTTTGGAGGTCCCTGGGCAATTCTATGATTCTATGACTCCTTGGCCATCATTCCAGTAGCTCCACAGAGCCAAACGAGACCGTAAAACCTGCCTGGAAGTTGGTTTCTTGGGTTAACAGGACTGGTTTTGCCTCTCTCCCTGCAGCTGGTGTCTGCCGTGGTGGAGTACGGAGGGAAGCGGGTGCGGGGCAGCGACCTGTTCAGCCCCAAGGACGCTGTGGCCATCACCAAACAGTTCCTCAAAGGCCTGAAGGTATGAAATCAGCTGCAGATGAAATAAGGGTGGTTTTAGTCAACGGTTGTGGGGTGAGACTTGCACTCAATCTCTTCAGAGATTTCATCGTAAGCGCTCTGGGCTTTTAGGCCATAATTCTCATGGAAGACGATGGGAGGGACTCTTTGCCAGGAAGGGTAATGATAGGACAAGGGGAAACGGTTTTAAATTGGAAGAAAAAAGATTCAGGTTAGATCTCAGGAAGAAATTTTTGACTCTGAGGGTGGTGAGACACTGGAACAGGTTGCCCAGGGAAGTTGTGGCTGCCCCATCCCTGGAGGGGTTCAAGCCCAGGCTGGATGGGGCCTTGAGCAACCTGCTCTGGTGGGAGGTGTCCCTGCCCAGGGCAGGGGGGTTGGAACTCGATGATCTTTGAGGTCCCTTCCAACCCAAACCATTCTATGATTCTATGATTTAGTTGCTGAAGAGCCCCTGTAAATCTGGAGGTTGGTGGTTAAGGCTCCCTGGGACCCTCAGATCACAGAATCCCAGAATCTTCTAGGTTGGAAGGGACCTTCAAGATCATCTTGTCCAACCGTCAACCCAACTGACAAAAATAGACACCCCCACAACAAACAAGGAGCATCATCACTAAACCATCCCTCCCAGCACCACATCAACCCGGCTTTTGAACACCTCCAGGGATGGGGCCTCAACCCCCTCCCTGGGCAGCCCATTCCAAGGGCTGAGAACCCTTTCAGGGAAAAAATTGTTCCTAAAATCCAGCCTGAACCTCCCCTGGGGCAACTTGAGGCCATTTCCTCTCGTCCTGTCGCCTGGGACTTGAGAAAAGAGACCGACCCCCACCTCTCTACCCCCTCCTTTCAGGGAGTTGGAGAGAGCAAGAAGGTCTCCCCTCAGCCTCCTCTTCTCCAGGCTGAACACCCCCAGCTCCCTCAGCCTCTCCTCATCAGACTTGTGCTCCAGACCCCTCACCAGCTTTGTCGCCCTTCTCTGGATCATCAGATGATGCTGATGATCTCTCTCTCTCCCCCTCCTGCCGCGCGGCGGTAATTCCTAACGAGCTTCGGTAATTCCTAACAAGCTTCTCTTGCCCTGCAGGGCGTGGAGAACGTGTACACCCAGCACCAGCCTCTCCTGCAGGAAACGCTCGACCAGCTCATCAAAGGGAAACTCAAGGACAACCAGTTCCCCTACTTGGGTCCCAACACCCTCCGGGACAGGTAGGTGAGGACAAAACCACGTGGAACTGAAGTCTCTCTGCTCCTCCCAGTGCTGCCCTTTGCTTTGTTCTTTACCTGGAGATGAGCAAAACCTTAATTTGGGCAGAGAAATGTCTTGATGGTGTCACTCTTCCTGGCCTTCTCCAGTAGCTGCCCTGGAGAGGGCTGTTGAGACTGAATGAGGGTTGTCTCTTCTCACTGGACAAGGTGGGACGTTCCACCTCCGAGGTGAAGGATCCCCCCGAGCTGCTGGGATGCTCACGTGATGGATTTCGACGTGGCCCTTAACTTCCCTCCTTGCCATCTGGTGTTTATTTGTAGAATACCAAAAATAGTCCCCCCTGCGAGCTCTCCCTTCCCAGCCAGCTCCTATTCCCGAGGAGAGCGGGATCTTGCTGAATACAGCTAATATCTGTCATTGAAAAGAACTCTGGTTTTTAGCTGAATTAGCTGGAGCTGAGCTCATCTGTCATCAAAAGAGTCATTAAAGGGTAAATTCGGGCCTGGGAGGGAGGACACTGATGGAGGGAGAAGATGACAAGGGGCATTTTGTACCAATGGCTCCTTTCCTGGGCGCCGCCGTTTCCTTGGTGTAAGTGAAGGGTAAATTCCACCAGGTTTTGTTGGGTATTTTTTGATGCCTTCTAGTGGTTGGGTTTATTTTATTCCTTCTGGGGGTGGGTGGTCTCCTTTGAGAAGATCCCACCGTTTCTTTGCTTCCTTTGGGTGCTCCGTGGTGGTTCATCAACCACGAAGTAACCCATGGCCAACCAGTTGGGGACCAAGGGTGAGCAGTGACGAGCGGGCCCCGAGCACCAGGAGCACCATGACTTCTCTTGGAGATGCTCCTCCTCCTCAGCCCCTTGCCCTGGGGCGTTGCCATCCATCCAAGGAAGATCAAAAAAGGCTTTTGGAGCATCCAAATTCCACGCCAGGCCACCAACAGGGGACATTAATGATTTTATTTATGAATAAGAAAGAATTATAGTCAGACAAGGAGCAATTTCTTTGTGTTTGTCCCCGTTAGACCAAGGAAGTACCTGCCTTACTACAGATTTTCCTTTGGAAATAAAATAGGGAATGAATAGGTGTGAAGTATCAAGGCCCCGAGCAACAGAAACCCTGTCCTCATGACTGAGGTGGATTTTAACCCAAGGAGAAGAGGTTGAGGGATGGGATTTGTGGTGGATCCGCAACGAGAACCGCATCCAGGCATCCCCAAACCAGAAACAAAGGCTCTTCTGACCTTTACCTTCTCTTCTTCAGTTCCCACCCACGTTTTCCTGAGCTGTGTTTCTCTTACATTCCTCTAAATATTTCTGGGAGAAGGTTCCACCAACCTGCCCCTCAGAACCCTGCTCCAAAGAACGGGCACATCGTTTAGTTGGGCTTTAATTCTTCCCTCGAACTGAAGGGAAACAGCAGTTGGATGAAGAGTTCAAGAGGGACAGGGAACTACTGGAAAGAGTCCAGCGAAGGGCAACAAAGATGATTCAAGGATTGGAGCATCTCCCTGATGAGGAGAGACTGAGAGAGCTGGGACTCTTTAGTCTGGAGGAGAGAGGGCTGAGGGGAGACCTTCTCAATGCCTACAAGTATCTCAAGGGAGGGTTGAAGGAGGAGGGAGCCAGACTCTTTTCAGTGGTTCCCAGTGAGAGGACGAGGGGCAACGGGCACAAGTTGGACCAGACGAGGTTCCACTCAAATATGAGGAGAAACTTCTTCACGGTGAGGGTGACAGAGCCCTGGGACAGGCTGCCCAGGGAGGGTGTGGAGTCCCCTTCCTTGGAGATTTTCAAGACCCTCCTGGATGCTCCTGAGTAACATGCTCTAGCTCTGGGCAATCCTGCTTCAGCAGGGGAGTTGGACTAGATGATCTCTATGGTCCCTTCCAACTCTAAAAATTCAGTGAAATTCAGTGAAATTCAGTGAAGGGAAATGGGAGTTTTCACCTCCCTCCCTTCTCTGCGGTGATGAGGGCAACGGAGAGTTCATGGTGTTGGGATTTGAGGGCTCCAGACCCACAGGGATGGATGGCAGGACCTTCTCCCTGCAGGTGCTGGAGAAATCCTCCTCTCAGGCACGATCCGCTGTCCCCCAGAGCGGAAAACTCCGGTGATTGGGGAAGGGGATGTGAGGAAGGTGGAGCCCTTCCTTTGAAAGCAGAAAACGGACAGAATTTGGCTGTTATTTTGTATTTTCTCAGCTGAATTCTCCCTCTGCAAAACCGTGGCTGGTCCCTGCTCTTTGGAGCAAATCCCAGAGCTCGGAAACGCCGTCGTTGTCCTCGTTTGGCTCCAGAATTGATTGGAATTTACCGGCGGCAGCGTCTCCATCATGCATTAAACATGGGAGCCTGTGTGTGTGTGTGTGTGTGTGTGTGTGTGTGTGTGTGTGGTGGAGGCGGCGGGGAAGGGGGGGAGCTTTTCATCCTTAGCACCTCGGGTGAATGTTTAGGAGAGAAAATGTTTTAAAAGCAATTTAACAGGTGATTTAACAACAGGCTCCACCACGTCAGCCTTGATAAGCCCGTCACAGAAACGTGGTCTGGGGAGAGAAATCAACGAGGGGGGAAGAGAAATCAACACACCCCGCCCCGGTGTGTGTGGAACAGGATTTATCCTCCTGTTTTTGCCTGATCCCTCCTCGATTTTGCCTCTTTTCTTGCAGACCCCAAGACATCATCGTCTTCATCATCGGAGGGGCGACTTACGAGGAGGCGCTGACGGTCTATAACCTCAACCGCACCAACCCCGGGGTGCGCATCGTCCTGGGGGGCACCACGATCCACAACACAAAAAGGTAAGAAACCCTATTTTTTGACTCTGGATGGAAAAACTCCTGACACGAGCAGGAATTTGGCAGCACCCAAGGGATCTCCGTTACGCCCTAAAACACAGAAAAGTGTAGAAATGGTCCGAGATCAGTGTCTGAGGGACACATCTGAGGGACATGTTACCCAGGGGAAGGTTTAACCTGCCTTTGACCAGTTTTGAGTGCGAAGAAGTAGATGTATTGAGTTTTTTCTGCTCATAATTTTCCCCAAAATCCATCCTAAACCTCCCCATTTTGAGTGCAAAGAAGTAGATGTGTTGAGTTTTTTCTGCTCATAATTTTTCCCCAAATCCATCCTAAACCTCCCCTGGAGCAACTTGAGGCCGTTTCCTCTTGTCCCGTTGGGAGAAGAGACCGACCCCCCCTGGCTACACGCTCCTTTGGTGGGTTGGAGTTGGAGAAGGTCCAACGGGGGTTGGAGAGAGCCAGAAGGTCTCCCCTTAGTCTCCTTTTCTCCAGGCTCAACCCCCCCAGCTCCCTCAGATGCTCCTCACAAGTTCTCCAGACCCTTCTCCTTGGCCTCCAGACCCTTCTCCTTGGCCTCCATCAGTCCCTTCTCCTTGGTCTCCAGCCCCCTCTCCAGCTCCGTTGCCCTTCTCTGGACCATCTCCAGCCCCTCAATGGCTTTTTTTTTGGTCACGGGGGGCCCAAAACTGGCCCCAGCCCTCGAGGTGGGGCCGTGGATGGCATGATAGGAATGTGAGAGGCGACCCCCCCTTCTCTCCCATGTGTTGCACCAGAAAAGGCCGTGAAATATCAATCCTGGGAGAGTCCCAAGCGTTTTCCATCAGCTGCTCCCAGCTTTGAGGGAGCTCCCTGCTCCAAACTGGGGTGGGATGAGTTTCCTCATGAGTTTCCACCCTGTGGAAACCCAAAGGAAGTCCAGTCCTGCAACTGGAAGGAAAAATTAACACTGGGAGGAGATTTTCAGATGTAATTAAGAGCTTTGGGTGCCCGAGCAGCCTCCTGGGGTGAAGGAAACACACTTTATTACCATCCCTGGGGTTGGAAGTCAGAAATACAGCTGTCCAGCACTTCATTGATCCCACTTACTGACAGGTGGGCTCTGGGGCAGCGAGGAGGCTAAAAATCACTTTGGTTTCCAGCCCATATACGTGCTCTGCCGCTGCCTCGGAGCCCAGAGAGGGATATTTATAAAATCCTTGCACTTTTGCCCTTCCTTTTCACGCCTGGGAGGGCTCGTCAGGCTCCAGAGCTGCCTGCACCAGAAGCACAAAGGAAATCCAGTGGCTCCTATGGTGGAAAAAAATGCCCAAACCCTCCAAATTCATCGAAATTTGCCCCGTGCTTTAGCGCCAGGCGATTGGAAAAGGGGCTGAGCCCAGCAGTAAATTGCTTTTCTGAAGTGGGTTACAAAGGCAAGTCTGTATTAGCCCACATATCGACTGATTCCTGCCCAAATTACCCGGCTTCCTCAACCTTCTGCTTCACAAAGTGGCCTTTGAACTAAATCCTCCTTTAGCCAGGCCTAGAAATAGCAATAAAAAGAGACCCGCGGACGGAGAAGCTGCTTTTTGACTGATAAAAAGAACAAAGTTGAATAAAATATCATCATATTCAGCCTGGCACCCCCTGTACCTCCTCGTCTGGTGAGCAGGAGGGGGGGTTTGGGCTTTAGGTTGCCATCCCAGCTCTTCTGGTGGCCTCTTTGGGCAACTCCCTCCTTTGTCTCCAAGTGGGAATGGTCTCTCAGTCCAGCTTTAGGGAGTTTGGGATTTGGAGCCAGATCTTGGATTTGTGCTGGGAGGGAGGAACGTTACTGGGGGCTTCCACCTCGCTTTGGTGCAGCCTCTGAATTATTTACAGAAAAACGAGGATGCTGGCTCAAAATTTGCATTTCAAAGAATGGAAGTGAGGGGAAAAAAAAGAGGAAAAGCTAAAAAAAAAAAATAACATTGCTTTTTAAGGGCTGACTATTCCAAAGTTCACCCAGGGAATTCCGGGGTAGGGATGATGGAGGGTCCCATCCTGAAACCCCAAGTGATTTGCCTTCCCCGAGTGGCTTGAGTAAGATTTCCTAAGGGATGAGAGGCCACATTGGTAATAATAAGATTAAAAATTATAAGTTTGGGGTCAGTGGAGCCCTTTTTAAGGCTCTGCTCAGCTCCTGCAGGCCGAGGAGGAGCAGAGGAAGGAGCACACGGGGTCAGGAACACCTGAGAAATGTGGAATTTCCCCCTCCACGAGTGTTAACCCCGATCCCAGCTATTCCTGACGGGAGGAAACACCAGATTTTATCATCCTAACTCCTCTGGTAATCCACTGGCTTTCCTTTAATGAACCCGGGCTTATTTCTGGCCGGATTAGGGTTGATATATCACAATAAACAAGGAGATTGGGATATTAATGCGCCGGGCGGCCCGTGTAAGCGCATTAATCCCCTGCTTTCATTGTTCTTACCAGCCCAGCTGAAATTACGCTCAACATCTGTGTTTAAAACGGGGGGAAGGTGGCTTAAGGGATATCCATTCCCCTTTTTTTTCCAAGGGGGGGGGAGACAAACAACCCCCCAGAGCTGGTTATGTTGTTAGAGGAGTATATTTACAGTTTATCTGTTTAAGAGACCATCTGCGTTGTCCAGTAGATGCTTTAAAATGTGTTGGGGGGGAGGAAATAATAAGCATCGGGATGAAAAACAGATCCTGAAGCATCCAGAGGAGGAGAGGAAACTCTTTGAAGTTTCCGTGTCAAGGGGAATGTGTCCCCTGTTGATCTTTATGGATTTCTCTCTGTAGAGATGGCAAAAAGGGGGGGGATGATAAAAAAGCTCATATCCTGACGTGAATGGTTCAATAGGAGCCATTCCCTATCGATAAAATCAGGCTGCAGCCACTGGCAGGCTCTGCTGGGGAGCTTGGAAATCACTCCCAGGGGTTTTACAAGGTAAAAACCAGAGGTTTTTTTGGCTTCTCTCCTCTACCTCCATCAGATAAATCCATGTATTTCACCTGTTCCTCAGCCTCTTCCCTGATATCACCCAGGGAGAGGGTGAGGAACGTGATGGGGTCTACAACCAAGAGCTGGGAGAGAAAAAACACTCGTGAAAGGTGAAAGGGAGAGCTCAGAGGGTCAGGATTAGGGGCAGGGAATCTCCTTGGGAGTCATAACAGGTTCCTTCTCCGGCGGTTCCCCGTCCTTCAGATGGGAGGGAGGGTCACAGCATCACAGAATCTTCTAGGTTGGAAGGGACCTTCAAGATCATCTT